GGGGCGGCGCCCCCCGCGTCCACTGGGCGAGAGCGAGGGGGCCGGGGCTGGACCCAGTCCTGCTCCCTGCGGGTCCTACCCCCCCACCCGCAGCATTCCCAGGATCCAGCCCATCCTTTACGGTGGTGAAGGCAAAGCGGAGCTGTGCGGCTCCAGGCCGCGGGGGAGGCCCTGGCCCTGCTAGGGCATGTCTATGGGAGAAACTCCCGTCGGCCTTCGCTAGGGTGAGCGACAGCCGCCCCCGCAGTGCCAGCTTGGTTCATGCCCTGGTGCGCCCCTGCCTGGGGAGGCCCTGGGGGAGTCGGGCGCCTGGGGGTGGAGATCCCTGCCTGGAGCCCAGTCGGCTGCTGTGCTCCTAGGAGCATGGACCCAGGCCCCTGGGGGCAGCAGGAGCCAGCCCAACGGTCTAGCTGGGAGCGGAGCCGGCTCTGTCAATTTCCCAGCTCGGGGGAACCGTGGAATTGACATGAAGGGCAGCCCATAGCTGAGGGGAGGGGTGTACCGTGTCACCTGAACTACACTGTCCGGCCTGTGGCTCTCGGGCAGCTGGAGTTTGGCTGTCAGTGCAGCAGGGCCCTTGGACCGAGGCTGCAGCCTCGACACTGTCATAATTACATGTTGACCTACGGCTGTAGGGTAGCACAGGCCTTAGTGGTGCTATCCGGGGAGAGGTAATACCGCCTGTGCTAGTGCCCAGTACAACCCGCCCAGGCCTGGGGCTGTACGGGTGTGATGGTGCCACAGTCTCCTCCCCCCACCCCTCCCGTGTACCCCTCTGCCCGACGGGATGAAGCAAGCGTGGTACCTACTCAAGGGTAACAGCCAAGGCAGCTCCTGGGCATGCCTGGCATCTAGCTGCAGCCGCTGTGAGCTGAACCCCCCCCTCCCAGCCCCCAAAAGTCAGCATGAGCAGAAGGGAGGGAGGGTGCTGCTGTGACGTGGACGCCACTTTTCAAAGCCCGGGTGCCTTAGACGCTTTGTCCTGGGGTGATTGACCAGCACTGGCGCTAGGTGTGGGGCTCTGTCACTGCGGGAAGACGCGAGGGGAACGGGGCCTGTGAGCGGACACTGATGGGTGGGAGCTGCACTACGTCTCCCCGGCTGACTGTCCCTTGGAGGACCTAGGAAACACCAGGTCACCGCGAGTGTGACGAATGCGCACCGGTTAGGGAGTGCCTGGGGATGGTCACAAGCACTGAGTGCGGGGGGGGGGGGGGGGGGGGT